GTTACCACAAGAACACAACTTACCCACCAAAACACTATCAAATTCAAATGCATAACAATTAGATCGGGGTTATGAATGATCTCCAACATCATTAGCCAGCAGACTAGAAAACGCTCCAAGAGCATTCTATTCTGGACTTTTAACTACGTTGAATGCTAAATCTCACGGATTAGGTTTATTAGAAATTGAGCTCGTTTGCTAGCGTTTTATTGCCGAGGTGAAAGGCAGACCATCCGAGCACAGAGGATATTAATTATACCAGAGAAAGGACTAATCTCGTTTAACAACAACTTCTTTCTGAGTAGTGGTACTTTTGAAATGAGTAATGAGTGGGGAAAAAGTGATTTCCCTATTAAAATAAAGCCTACGCTTACTTGGTCTTCAATGAAATACATTTTCGCCGGAATGAAGGTTGTACGAGGACCAAGGTTTCGCATCGAAAAATTAAGGATTGTTTTTCCCAGACTGCCTTGCAATGTGAAAAATCTTTTTGACTAAGTATTTATTTATAGTGTAGTATGTGTTGTTTACGTCCAAAAATTAATAAATTCATTTAAAATTTATTGCTAGCAGCATTTACCAAAAAAATATTACTTCAATTTTAGAAAAGTAACTGCTATCTATCTTCAATGATTTTTTTAAAATGTCCCGTAACTTTTCTATCTTTCGAGCTTTCGTTTTGACCCTAATGGCTTCAACTTTTCCGTAATCTCAAGAACAGAAAGATCTTTGACATTTGTATTATTTTCTGTGTTGGAACGTTCTTGAATGTCATTTTGGAATTCGAAAATTTCCATCGCTTACTTCTTGCTTCATTTATCATAGTTGACCAGTAATCTCCATTTCTTTTGTTGAATTCTCTTCGTTCTCTCTCATGTCTACCTGTAAACTGCATCCTCTTACTTGCAAGCCATATCTCTTTTGGAACATCCCACTTGTTTGACTTCATGAGTTGAAATTTACGCACATCAACGTTTTTCTCAACTCCCATGTTTAGAAAAATGATATCAAAGGTTATCAGTTAAAAAAAATGTACTACTTTTGAATTACAAACTACAACCTTGCCCTGTAAACTCTTTGATACCATCATGTCTCTAAATAAAGTTCAAACGATATACAAACAATGCATGTATGATGTAACATGTTGTTTTCCATACCACAAAACTTCCCTACCAAGTGAAACAAATAGTTCAACCCATGCTTTAGTTTGGTAAAAAAAACATAACTAGTCAATGAAACATGATCAATTCGTGATTAAAAAGCAACTTATTTTTAATTAGACACTCAACTTTTCAAATAACTTACTAGCACATTTTTTGCATTGAATTGCTGGAATTCATCGTTTTATAGATCTGATAAAAATCCTTATTAATGATTCGTTAAAACTTATATTGCTTAGCTATCTGTTATCTGTCATTTGCCAGAATGTTTAAATCCTGCTTCATGAAATATGTGTACCTTCCCGATTTTAGCAACGGAATCATTGTTCTTTGGTTTGATAACCTCGTGAAGTTTATCTTGAAGATTCTTCATAAGTAATTTCTTGTCTTAACCCATGTTACTTGTGAAATCATAAATACCGCTTCCCTTTCCATCCGCAATGCGCTTTTCCCACACATCAAATGACACACCACATTCCCTTATGCACTTCACAAGACCTGAATGGTGTTTGCTGGTTCATCTTTTGGTGCTTTATCAGTGTTATCCTTGGTGCTCCACTCTATAGCTTCATTTACCAGGCTTTTTGTCATGGTATGCATGCAGAATTATTTTGAAGCTTCTATAAAAATCATACCAATCTCGTAGCCTATCAAAGTTTACTGTAGTGGAGTCTATTAAAATGGTAGTGTTAAATTATTGCCTTTATCTGTGACCAGGGACGTCGCGAGCACAATGATTTTATTTTTTTGGGGGGGGGTCATAAATATTTATTTGAATAGTTTTTTAATTACCTGAAATTTTTCAGCTTTCCAGAATATGCATCCGATTTTGAGAAACATTGACCTCAAAATTTTCAGTTTTAAAAAAATGAATGAGCAGTTTCAAAAAAATTAAATATTATATTTCCTACATAAACAAGAAATGTACAGACCTATTTGGGCATGACCCTAACCTAACCTAATAAGTAACATTACAGGTTTCTGTCCTTAAAATAGTAATTACATTGGCATTTTAGGGACTGTTTGGAGCAACCGCCAACAAAGGAACTCTACGGTTCTTTAGATCAGCTCATTTCTTTGCCAGTTTGTACAGTTGATTTTGCTCTGTTATGTCATTCTCAGCAGCAAGAATCATGCAGTCATTTAATCGTTCCCTGACATCTTATTGCGTAGATGGCTTAAGCTTAGTCATCGAAAGTCCAAATAAAATAATGTTTTGTTTACTTTATGTTTACTTTCTACAAAGTTCATAATCAATGCCTTCAGCAAAGTATAACATAACATTTCTTTGCTAATTTATATTAATGATCGATTTTAATTGTTAAAATTTTAACTGACATCAAACATATACCCACTTTTACTTATTATATGCCAGTAATTTGAGACTGGCAACCAACGCAGCAGTAGACAGTTGTAATTATCTAAATTGATTGTTTTAGCGATAATTAATTTGCATCAGTATAGTACTAATTTACCTCATGAATTTCACCTGATTTTTACCTTATTTTTGTTTTAATTTTTGATTGGGGTGGTTTGCCCCCCATCCCCACACCCACAAACACACACCGGTAGCGACGTCCCTGTCTGAGACTCTAAGCATCAAGTGCAGCTCATCAACGACAATATTTTCAAGGTGTTGACCTTAAGCAAGGGTTGATGTTCACATGAGAATGGATTTCATAGGGCACAATCCTTAATGCCGCTTAGGGAACAGCTATGTTGTGTTTCCCAGTAAACAATAGGTTTTTACCTATCCCACCTAAAATAAATATATAGTGAAATGTGAATTTTAGTTCATTCTTCTCCAAAACCGATGCTACTTGGACTTGCCTTAATGAGTTCTGTATTTTACACTATATAAAAGCATAATCTAAAGTTGCTCCTTTGAACCCGAAAATCAGCAGAAGATACTAAAGAATTTGTAATGAAATCTTTCTGCAACAATAGACGATTGCCTATTTTCTAAAGTGTTACAAATTCATATTCTTTGAGCAAATTTTAGAGAAGATACCTTATAATAACACCCAATATAAATTTGAATTCTCACATCTTATCTTTTATTCTAAGCAAATCATCTTTGACTAGCCTATTGATGTCACCAAAAATCTTTAAGCATGAAATTTTCAGCAGCTCATAATCTGCATGTCCCTTAATTACAGCTACTGTATGATTACCTGTATATATGAAATTCTAATAAAGCATTATGATAATGGTTGAATAAAACATTCATCAACTTATAATAAAATTACCTTTAGTTTTAAGTAACAATATATCACAATATGACATTTTACAGAATATTAGCATCAGCATAACCAAGCATTGCAGCCATACCCTTAGATAACATCACAGTATCTTCAGCAATCAATATAAAGAAACTAATGTTAGTGAAGTTGGTCAGTCTTGTTATTTTAGCTCCAACACTGCTGATTTTGAACTTAAATGTGAAATCCTGAAGCTTTCTATCTGATTCGATCTAAAATAATAAATAAAATATGATTTATTGTTTTTCCTATACTTGTCCACTTTATGATCACTCAGAAGTGAGTAATCTCAGAAAGATATTAAATAATATCAAAAAACAATTCAATGTATTAAAAATGATACTTAATATATTTTAAATCACAGATTTTAACTCATCCAAAAAATTGAAGGCTGCCCCATTTTCTCAATGTAGAAAAGCTTATTCAAATCATTTCGGCACAGCTTTACTGGATTAGACCTGGGTATTTTTTCTCCTCCCGGAGCAAAGGTTAATTCATGATATGACATGTAATCAATAGAGAATTTGTCTATAATGAACAATATTTGTTTGATTTTCTGTGGTTGGTCATTTGGAAGATCAGAATAGGCATTTTTCTCATTTTCACGGAATGTGAGTACATAAGATTTACCAGAATCATAAACCCTATTGACAGCATCTAAATGCAAACCAAAATGACACACTGAACCACAATGCCTGTTTCACCCTAGTTTCCGAAGTTCGAAGCTTTCAAATTTCCTGTCGTTTTCCAAATTCTTTTAAGCTTTTCCCATTATTCTCAAAGTATCATTGGGGAGAAATTTTTCAATGAGGCTGTACAAACTTTCGTTCTCCTGCTTCAACTTTTCCAACGCTTCGCGCATAATCAGTTGCAACTGTCGCAATTTTCTGGCCATGTTTTAATGTGTGTGTATTTCACAAGAAGGGTGAAACATTATGCTTTCGGTACATGAATTTTGCTGGTTGTAATCCAAAGAGAGTGACTTTAAAAATACTTTTCATTGTGGAAGTTCTGACAAACAAAATCCGCCCTTTCATCCGTAGTTCGTGACAACAGTTCCGAAACCTCTTGTTCCTGCCAGTTATTATTTAACTGCATAATGAAAATCAATGGTTTTAAAACACATGTTTTATCAACAAACTTTTAACGATCTCGTGTGATGTGTATCTTTGCTTATGGACTACACGAGATTCATCCTTATAAAATGTATATCTGAAGATCAACTTTGGCTTTAAAGAAGATAAGACATGTTTTAATTAAAATAGCCTTTCATATGTTATAGTTCAGTTGGCAATAATTTGAATATTTAAATTCTTTTTTGATTTTTATCGTCTTTTATCCATGGAAACACAGCAAGGGTTGTGTTAATTACTCAGAATTTTCTTGTTTGTTTGCTCTAATAAAAACATACATCGTCTGTATACTTTCACAAAGTACTGTCTTCTCCATAAGTTGTATTATTGCAGTAGCAGATCCAGGGTAAGTCAGAATACGTTACTGAAAAATTATGTGATTTTTAAATACTTTAGAACGAATATTATTGGCAGTAAATTTGCCTTAACTTTATTCTTTAGAAATTTCTCACCAACGACGCTGAAATAAAAGTATTTTTAATGTAGCTAGATAATTTAGTTCACAACACTCTTGTTCTGTCATTGTTATACTGATATTTGATTTACGAAGCTGACCTGCATAACTACATACAAACTTTCAGTTCTTACGTAGTTCACTTTTATTTAAAATATGTGTTCTGTGTATACACTGAAGTTAAAAATATACAGCCATATCAATAGCCCTACCATAGCCAAGCCAATTTTAATAAATTCATTTTTACTGAATCATGCACATAAAAATATACAAATTGGTAAGATGTTAGCGACAAAAATTTTTGCAAATAATTGCCCTTGTGAATAAACTGGCCTTAAGGAAGGAAAATAATCTAACAGGCTGCTATTATAGGAAATTATTCCACCTGAGAGGAAGTCGCGAAGCTAGCTCTTTTTATTATTCCCACAGTGCAAACATTTCTGTGTTTAATCGTTAGAAAAAAAATTAGCGAATTTAAGTTTCTAAAGAAATGAATAATAATATTCCTGAAAAATTTGTTATATTTGGAATAAAAGATTGGCTGGCTTCGACATTGCCAAGAGGGAATTTAAAATCATAGATACGAGAGTCAACCTCAACATTAGCAGGTCTTCTCAGAACTACTTTATGACTAATTTGGACGATATTCTTTAAAAAGCATGTAGGTAATAGGCATTTGCCGATTGTGCTAGTAAAAGTGGCATATTATGCTAGTGGCAGTGCTCGTTTTTTGCCCAAATTATGCTCAAATTATGCTCGCTTTTCAAAATTATGCTACTTTTTTAAAAAATTATTCTGTGCACAAACTTCACAACTCACAAGACAAGTTTGAAAATGTATTTTATTAACCCTGGCCAGACGTTCTGGGCTCGGTTGTTCAAAACCTGGGTAACTTTATCCGGTGGTTGGGCCTATACGGCGAATAAATCTGCTATCCAGCGGATAGTTATCCAGCGAACAAAAGTAGGTTGCACAAAGCCTGGATAGTGTGGTGGATAACTATCCGCGGATAGCTTGCTAGTTGCTAACCATCACGTGTAGCAGAGCACGACACAGTTTGCGCAAGGTTTTGCACTCAAATAGCCTCCAGTTACCATGGTAAAGTACGCAAATTTCGAGTAAACAACGAACGGTGCGCGCTAGGAACAACGAACTGTGCGCGCTGGGTTTCAAAACAAATAAAAACAAATACAGTGAAAACTTAACCATGCAGTTTCTGAAAAAGCCCTGGATAACAAATTTAACATTGAATAATCTCGCTCGTTTCTGAACCACGCAGTCCGGCTTGACTTCTCTAATTCGTTCTCCAACAGTTAATTAGCGCTTGTTATATTGAAGCATCACACTTGCTTGCAAGTAATCTGCAAGTGCACGATCTTGTTGATCGTTGAATGAAGCTGCCAGGATGCTGAATACTCTCTCTGCGGTAGCAGAGGATGGTTGGACCAACAGTATTTTCTTCACTGCCATGGACCAATTTGGGAGACGGTCTGCGTGGGCCTGCCACCACTCCACCTTCTTTTTCTCTTGTTCAATGACCACATCCTGAGCAGCAGCGACGTACTGTGGAAGCTCTCTAATTAGGCCATTGATAGTTGCATCATTCTCGAGGAAAGGAAAAATCCTTGGGGCTTCTATTGTGGCGGGTGTAGGCCTCATCCATTGAACGGCAACTGGACACATGTTTCTTGCAGCTTTGAAGGCCGTGACGGTGTCATAGAGCTTCACGTTAAACTTCTGCAAGAACCAAAGTATAGCCGGCTGTACACAAGCTTCTGCCTTCCGTTCTAGATCCGCGGCTCTCTGAGTAGCATCTTCGTTGGCAATTGCGTCAGCAACTGCGCGTACATTAGGAAAGTGCGGAGCTTGGCATGCCTCGGCGACAGCCTTTAACTTCTCGTAGCATGAAAACACAAGGGGCCCGTCACCTTCCAAGTAGTATGTAGCTTTGACAAAATGCTCTCCTTCTTCAATGGTCACAGCCAACTCGAGCTTAAGATCGACAAGGCGCTGAGGATCTGAGAGTATAGCTCGAAGCTGTGCCACAATCTTTGGAGCAATGTTCTCTACTTCTGCATCATTCAGGAATCCAGCAACGTCTCCAAACTGCTCCAGTAGCTGCCTGTAAACTTCCCATTTTGACCACCAGCGTGTTTCGCTATACGATTTCGGCTTTCGATCGGTTAGATCCTGCCATGCCAACTTTGCTTTATGGCTGTGACTGAATAAGCGTACCCACAGGTTTCCAAACTCCAAAAGATTAGGAATTTCCAGATGTTTGCCAACATTATCGAGCGTGTGGGAAAAGCAGACAATGTTCAACATCTTTGGGAAGATGAATGATATCCGATCCAATGCTGCTTGATTGACACTTGCTCCATCCCTCATCGCTGCAAGCAAAGAGTTCGCCTTGATACCAAATTCAACGCAAAAGGCTTCGTTGAGAACTCTTGCTAGTTCTTCTGAATTCACCGACTTTGAGCAAATGTCAATTCTTATAAGACGCTGTGTTATCATCCACTCATCATTAATAAAGCGAAGGATTATCGCAATAGCCTCACCTTTTCTGGTGCTCCTGTAAAATATTACTGAAACGTCCCTTGTCATATCTTCTCCTGGCAAAGACAGTTCCTTCTTTATTCTCTCAACCTCTTGCTTGAAAATAAGAGAAACATACTGTCCGAGATGCGCACTATGAGTGAGGCGATACCCATTTTTCTCTAGCAAAGGACGTAGCCTGTCTACCTTCCCGATTGGAATCCCTGCTTTCAAAAACTCATCCGCTACTTCCTGTCGGTATGCTTGCTCAGCCAACGGCAGCGTGTTGTCTTTACGAGTTTTCTCTCTGCTGAGTGCCTCGGCTATCGTTTGTTCTCTTAACCTTGATCTCTTCAGCGCATCTTTCCCTTTGGCATGTTTTCTTGAACTACAATGTGATGCTAAAATGCTCTTTTTGGATGATACCATTTCTTTGCAGGCATTGCAAAAGATCGTTGTGCCTCTGACACTCAGGTGCTGATCAGGGAACTGATTAATACGATCTTGTAAAGGGACATTTTTCGCATTAGTGACATTACTCGTCCCCCTCCTCTTGTATTTTCCAGTGGTGGATTCGAGGCGTCTATCCCGGGCAAGTTGTGCAGGCTTTGGTCTATCCTCTCTGTTCTCGCAACTTTGTAAACTATCTGGATGTAAGTTCACTGCATTTGACTTGTTTGGCGTGGCGGCCGCCATTTTGAAACGAGCACTGGGAGAAAGACTAAGGAGTCTGGGACCGAGACACAGACTTCCGGTTCCGTTTCATCGAGCTCCCGCGGTATCTCAACACAAGTAAAAAAAATCGTTTTTAGTAGCTCGGATCTTCGTTTTCTTGAATTATTCTAAAATTGTGCTATTAAGACAAGAAAAAATACGGATTATGCTAGCAGTGCTACTTTTTGAAAAACGGCAAATATTATGCTCAATTCCTCAGATTATGCCAAAAATTATGCTAGCACAATCGGCAAGAGCCTAGTAGCTAACTATAATTCTGAGTTCATACCACTCACCGTATAATCACCTTTTAAAACGCTTATGTTTTTAAAGCTTTATTTAATTTCCTGAATTCACTTCTTTAGTTAAACAAAGTGTTTTCTTTTGAAAAGACTTACCGACCTTCAAGTTTCATGGAGGATAAATCTATCTGCCAAACTACAACGATGGATGTGTTACCTGACAAACCCAACACAACTTCACTTCAGAATACTGGTATGGGTGACATTCTTATGTAGACCCTATAAACACAACCTTATAGAGAAAATTGAAAATGGAAGCAAAAAGTATAAATTAGCAGGTTTCGTGAACACAACGCCGTTAGATATGCCTATTTGAAAAGGGTTAGTTTTCATCTCATTCTATATAGAAGGTAGTTTTTTGAAAACCTTAGATAAATATCATAAAATTCTCTATAATTGGAGTATTGGAAATGTGTAAGAATCCAAGAATAAGATTTAGTAATTTATTTTAAAGTACCCCAGATCTGCAAATTTCTGACCACCAAAAATACGGATTGCCATTTTAAGGTTTTTGGGTCTTCGGTGCTTAACATTTTATTCCAAACCCCCAGGATTCGATTTCGCATAATATGTTTTTATACTAAAAAATTCTGTACATAAATTATGCACCATAAATTATTTACTTTACTATCAAGTCCCATTCCCAAATCAAAAAGTGATCTAAATGTGATCAGACAAAAATATTATTTTGATCGTTTTCGAAAAACTCTAAGCAATAAAATTGATTTTGTAGCTAAGATCCGGACTATCTAATAATATGATTAGTTTTGCAAACGCTAAAGTTCTTTTGCAAAATATTTGAGACTAAACGGAACTACATAAATTTATCAAATTGTTGAATGAAAGTGTCTGTCGCGACGCTAAAGAGTTTTAAGAACAAGTTGGTTTTCAACAGTTTTTGTACAAATGATGATGTAATACTTATTATTTACTTAACCACAAATTTTAAAGCAAAGAATTGTACTAACTGAGAGAAATGAGAATTAGAAATTTGACATTTATCTTTTTTCACGTCATAAACTTATAATTTTTCAATTCTGGTTCGAGAATTCAGCATTTTCTAACCTCATATACTTTTTAATTATTTAAGAGTGGCTTGTTCTATTAATTTTGGGTGCATCTCAACGAGGAGATGTGAGTTTGATCAAAAGTTTTGAAGCTGATGAGACAAACTTAAAAGAAATGTTTAGAAGTTTTGGTCTTACATTAATTGTTTGTAAGGAATTTACGGCAAGTGAAATAATTAATACCATCGACGATATATTGACACAAAATGAGAGCATTCGTGAAAACTTCTTACTTATCTTCATTGGTTACGGAGACAGGTATGGAATAAGAGACTGCCACTTTCAGTTTATCGATTTTCAAGTAATCATAAATGCAGTCACAGAGAGGGAAAAACTAAAAGGAAAAAATAAACTCTTCATGATGGACACAATTCTTCCCGCTGATTTATTTGAGCACAGAAAAAAAGAAGAAATATATGGGCAAGAATCGGATACTTTGATCGCAATTGCATCGATACCAGGTAGAAAAATTAATTATACTTCTTTCTAAGCAGAACAACATTTTTCTTTTTCATGAAACAACATGAGACATAACTCACTTAAAAAAAAGTTATTTGATGACAAAGCTTATTACAAGCTTTTTTCATAAAATTATTTTCAATTTCGTAAATCATAATTAAAAAATAAAACAAAAAGAATGGTTTCTAGCAAATAGACCAGATCGGTCTTACCTAAAATGATAACATGTTGCTGTAATTGAGTTTAAAAGAGTTTTATTAATTAATCGGTTACTTTCATGCATACAATGTCAATAACATATCAACATGGCTTGAATTTTTGACTGCATTGTTGACTTATAAACATTTTATATTTTTTGACTATATAGAGAGTATTTCTGTCAGAGGGAGCGAAGGAACGTTACCAGTTATTAAAACCAGCGAGATATTTCGAAAACACTTTAGAGAAGAGGATGTATCGTCCATGATGCTTAGAGTCAACTATGAAATGCGTGATATCTGTAAAAATGAAGGATACCTTGAATCGCCTGGTGAATTGCTCTTGTTGCTATCGAGATTAGTAAAATTGTCTATAGGATAATTAACTTGTTGGTATATTATTCATAGAAATTTGGCTATGTGTGTTCTGCTACAATTAAGATTACTCAAGCTATATGTTTTTCGTCTACTTCTATATGATTACATACAAGCAGTAACATAATTATGTTTTTTTATTTGAGGCTAAACAGCAAGAATTTTAAATTATGAAATTAATCAATGCATTATTCTATTAGGAGCAAAATTTTGACAAATTAATGTCAAAATTAGCGATGGTTATTTTGAATTTTTTTGGCTTGCATTAGGGTGACTGGAGTTTTACATTCTACGGTATTTTTTTTCGTCTGTTTAAGGAATTGGTGATTCCTAAATTACAATACTCTTAGTGCGTGACAAATATCCACCATTGATTATTCAGTATTGCAATCATAAAGTATGACTTATTAAAATAATGGCGACATTTCACCAACTTTTATAACATGATAGTTGTTTCACGAGATTATCATAAACTATAATAATACAACAACATGATGGATATATGTGCACTACAAATAATCCAAATGCGCAGTCGAGCCGGAGAGAGAGTTAGCGAGGGCTATATTATTCTAAAAAAAGCGTATAGAAGTTCAAGGGTTTTGTTTGGTTATTTTTTTATTTGTTGCTGCTTTGTGTTAATGATATGTAAGGTTTGTTAAAATTTCATGCGTGATCTGTTGTCTAAAAAGCCGAAATAAATAAAATACTGTACGTCAGAAAAAATTTTTGAATTAAAAATCTAGTTGAAAAAGATATTTTTAGACAATGCTCCGAAAAAGCTTTAACGCTTAGAAAGATGTAAATAAGCGTGTCCTTAAACTGATACACTGAAATGTATAACAATACAAAATATATACTTAAAAAGTAGCTAAAAGTAGCCCAGTAAAATCAGTCATTTTTTCTATCACTTCAAAACATGAATCATATAAAACAACAAAGCGAAACAGGAGATATTTTTGTCACCGAGCTACGATATATGTTATTAAAGTAATTGATTTGAACGTGCCATAGAACATACGTGTCGCACATAAACCAATCACAACGTTACGACAAGTACTAAAGAACATAAATCACAAAGAACAACCCAACGAATGACAAGGTGCAGTTTACAAAATAAACTGCTCCGACTGCCACGCCTCCTATATCGGGGAAACTGGCAGGAACTTAAACATAATACTTACTGAACACAAAAGAGCTACTATGAAAAAAGACAAAACTAGTCACATTGCCGAATATCACCGAATCACAAACCACAACATTGACTGGGACTCAGCAAAATTCATTATTTACAGTACTGACTACAGACAACGGCTTACATTAGAAGGTTGGTATACCAACTTGGAACATACCCCTCTGAAAAGATCACAGCAATTACCGGCACCTTACAAACGACTTATTCACAATACAAACAAACGATCAACTAAAAACATTACGCTTCACACTAATTCAAGATGACAATACACAATTGACACCCACACATTTCCTGTACATACAATATAATGACGTAAGAACCAGATAACAAAAACGGCTAACCTGACGTTTATTCCTCATTTGGCTCTGAAGATGACTACCGCTAAGGTTATCGAAACGTCAGTCAACAACAACAAAAACAGTCCTTCTCAGGACTATACCAACCTGGACGATCTATATTTACAAACATGTAATATATGTTATTCATATTCATTCATTTGTTTTATTATAAAATATACTATCAGTGCAGATCCAGTTATAGGCAAAATAAATTATCACCGCTAATTTTAAATTTAAAACACCTTTATAAAAATGTCATTGGTTATAAATTTCTAAAGAATAAAAGTTAACCAATCGATGCGGCAAAGTGATTTATTTTTCCAATACTTAAATCCGCTGTGTATACTATGGCATGTATAAAGTAAAAAAAAAGTTTTGGATGCACGAAAAATTGTAAATATCTATTTAAATGAGTCAAAAATCTCAAAATTAAGCTGACACGTTTAGGGATGAATTCAAACTCCTTTATTCCAAAGCAGATTTGTATAAACAGCTCACAAATTTATGTGATTGCTTTAATTCATTTCAACCAGCTTTTTAGTTGTGTTGCTATATATCATTGTTTTATGCTCTATGTGAAATACTCTGCTTACACATTTAAGAGAGAAGATTACACACTTACAGAGAAGGTAGACAACATCGCTTTCTCACAAATCGCAAAAAAACCAGGCTCCATAGACAACCATATATACTGTTCAGTTTTTCCTAGAGGCTCACAACCAGCTCGCTTTTATGGTCTCTCAAACTTTATAAACATAGAGAAAACTCTAATGCCCTCCCTATGACCTAATAGTATGAAGATTATTCCCAATGGTTAATATATTTATTAATAAAACTGTATCCCAGTGTTTAATATTTTTTAGTTCAGCGTGTTGCACTCAATGACATTGCCACACATAGATTACCAGCATTTTGTCAAAATTATCTTGAATTCCTTCACTAACATCCGCAGCAATCATTTTATTAGGGTTAACTAAATCATAAATTGTCGGATCCAGGCTCCTTCGACGATGTTTGCCGTTCTTAACAACAATGGAACGAACACGCTATTGCCTAACAACATTAGAGAAATTCTTTTCATCACGCATTTTATAATAAATTTTTGCAAGTAAATAAATGTCCTTTTGCTATATGAAGTCAATGCATGATGGAACAAAGCAGGGAAATTTTGAACAAAAAAAAAATACATTAATGCATTTAGAATGAAAAGTGATGGTCATGGAATGCTTTGAAAAATCTTCTTTTTAATAAGAATGGGACATAAAAAGTAAAATTTTCATTGCTTAGGTACTTGAAGTAGATTAAATGTTTCTTCAATTTGACTGTCTACTTTATACCACTTTTTTTTTTAAACATTTTTTCATGAACAAAAGGAAGTTCTTTAATGCCTTATAGGCTGGTATCGTTAATCACTAAATAATATACCAACAGCGTGTTCATGTCGCAAGAAGCTTTTTTTTATAAATGCAATTTTTTGAACAAATGTAGTTTCGAACAAATCTCTGAGTTTTGTAGAATCATTTAGTATTTTTAATTTTTGATTTTTCTTCTTTATCTTTCCTTTTATACAACTTTTATGTCAACACAAATAAAGTTGTTTTAAACAAAATGAAAATAGTTTCTTATTCCTATAATAAATATATAAAGCTTAGCAGAGTGCTTTAAAAAGAACTCTTGAATACAAAAATATAAGACATTATGAGAAAATATTAAATTACCACAAGAGTGTCTATTTATACAATATTTACGAGTATTTACAGTATATTGAATTGGACACAGTTGGACAAAAGATGTCATTAAAGGGTCCTAGAAAGCTTCCTTACCTGTGAAATCAACAAATAATTCACGCAAATAATTTTTGATGCGAGAAATATTACATTAAACATTTGTTTTCATACTTGTTTTTTATGAAAATATAAATAAAACCTTAAAAAAGGATTATGAACAGTCAGTTGCTTCTGCCCACAGAAACTGGGAATAGTCCAAAGGACCGAAACACGCATATAATAAACATATTGTAGTGTCGTTCACTCGTAAAGGCTAAAATTCTTTTGAATTGTTAAGAGAGGTTGGGAGAGTTGAATTTTCCCCCAAGATTTAACTATTGAATTAAATTCTTTGTTTAGTTGTGTTATGACTGGTATTATTCGTTTGTCATCACTATTTTCAGCAGCGTTTACAAACGCTTTAACCAGTGCTGTCCCTTCATCTATATTGCGGTAACTAAGACGACCTGAAAAGGAGCACACTTAGTATGACAATATTAAATTTCATTAAATACTAACTTTCGTTATAAAAGACGATGACGCCGTATACGTTGTATAAGTATACGCCGTATAAGTATAATGCATTGTATACGTTGTTAGAAAGAAGATTTTAGCTCAATATAGACAAACATAAAAATATGGTCCTTTGACAAGTTAGGTGTTAGAAAGATAAAGATTTTTGCAAGTTACAATAATAAATAGAGAGAGGCACGTCTAATTGATCATTATAATTAATAAACAAAATTAATTCATATTTTCATTTTGCGATAAGATCATCCAAGCTAACAATTCATTAATTTAGTTAATAAAAAACTTGTCTAACTGATCTAACCCGATGCAAAGTTCTAGCTGCGAGGCAATAATAGATCGCGCGTCGTTTTTGAATAAATTATTATTTCTTGCTGTCTAATTTATGTGAAAAATTTTTGCTTTTTCTTCCTTAAAATTTTATCCAATCAAAGCACCTTGTGAGCACTTTATTTTGACTGCTTTTGAATTATAAGTGCAGCAGTACACTTTTATCGTAAAATGTGCAACTTATCAAAGCCTTTCGAGGATAGGAAATTTATTTTGCCTAGCACCTTGTTTAATTTCAAATATCAAACCACTATATTTATTAACAAGTGGCGTTGCCAGCCCGCAAATTTGGTCGTGCTATGTAAATTTTTAATCATTATCATTATTCACTTCTTTACAAATCTTTTGTTTTCACATTGAATGAACACAGAAAAATCTACATAGCACGACCAAACTTGCAGAATGGCAACGCCACTGTTATTAAACTTGTTTGTATAGTTACAACTATAATTTTGGTGTATTGAGTTCGTGTATTGCAAATTAGCAAAGTTTTTTAAAGAATTTTCTAGTTGAAAGTGATAATATAGCTGGATAAGAAGCATACTCCGAAAAGTAATATTTCCAAATTGTTACAAATTCATCACCTGACTATATTTACAAGCCAACTGACGCTCTATTTATATGTGCGTTATATCAATTCGAAGGAGGTGCGGTAATGTGAGTTGGATGGGAGGGATTAGGAGATTGTGAGGCAGTGAAATCAAGTAGTGACAATTCTTTGCTGGCTTTAAGCTCATTATTAAGTTCTGGTTGTTGTGATTTAATAAAGAGTGCTTCAATTAGTAAAAGTCGATTTTTATTTACGTTAGTGTTCGAATAAAGTATTTTGTAGTTGCTTAGTACGAGTTTGGAAATGTTTGAATTACGTTCGTCCAAAAGTGTTTTGTAATCAAATGTGTTCTTGTTTTGATAGGTAATGACCTGTGCTTCTTGGCACTGTAAGAAGTGCTATGCGATAGCGCTTGTATCATCTTGTGTGGCATGTTCATGAAGTTAGGTTTTAAGACATCTCTCAGTTTTACCAATGTAGGATGTGTTACAACTGGGGCAAGTAACTTGATATACAGCATTGAAACGAGAGAGGGGTGAGATTTTGTCTTTGTTCGAAGTGAAAAAAGCAACTTATGATGTAAAAAATAATAATAAATTGAACTGGTTTAATGAAACATTTACGAAGTTTTCTAAGACTATTATAAATAATTTTTGTGACTTGTGAAAGTGATAAGGTAATCCTAT